AGTAGGTATCAGTGACTAATAACAAACTAACCGTTTGAAAACAATATTTTTAGTTTTTACAGCAAAAATAAATCCTGAAATTGGTTGGTGTTTTTTTTATCTTCAATATAGAATGTTTTCCATGCTGGTTGAACCATGYAAGATGTCAGGAATTATTATTATATTTTTTGGTTGAATTGTTGAGTAGCATATACGATACGCATATACATTTTTGAGAAGTGATCCTCCACACAGTGATTGCACAAAGGTTTGTCTTCTTGTCTCATTATATTATAATATTACGTTCAACTACGCGAGTGAAATAAAAGTRGCCAATATCCTTGCTCTTGTTATTGCTATTTTTTTCTTTTGAAAAATATATTCATAAGAAGGGTTATATTTTCAAACAATCCTTATTTTTATTTTATATATTATAATTTACTCTGTATATTATTTTACTCGACCTGTGACGTAAACCAGATAAATTTAAAAAATAAATGTAAAACAATCTTTAGGAACTATTAACTTAAATTATACGATATAACATACAATAGGTATGTAATAGTTTAGAGTGTAATAATATATTTTAATACGATATATGTAATATTACAAGTACTTCAGTACCAATATATTATAATATTATGCATATATAATAATTCATATTATATTTCAACATATTTTGTTGAKGGACATCGTGCAACATGGAAACAAAAATAATTAAATGAYACTATAGGTATAACTTGTAATATGTCGACCATATTATAGTCTTAGAATAAGGTTCATGAATCATGATATATTAAACCAAAACCACATTTTGGTTTTTAAATCAAAAATGACAAAAACTGTGATTTAATTAATTCTTATATCTATATAGTGTGGAAGCTAACATAAATTCTCAATTTAAAAACTATACGATAGCATAAATTATTTCATAACCGAATAATAATTAATAATAGGATAATGGTTTCCATAATAAATTACATTATGTTATTCAGGTGGAAAAAACTATGGTAGTAATTATTGATTTCCATTTGAGCTRCAAACAACAWGGCTTAGTATTGCCAGGTTTAAAATTTGTAATTAAGTTGAGGTAGTAAGTTAATTTTAAATAAGTCACATATCTAACGAGTCAATTATTTTTATAAATAACTTTTAAACTTATCTACTTTGCTATGCATATAAAGTGATAATTTAAAATTAATTTAATTTAACGGAACCTATCCATATTGAGTTTAACACTATTTAAATATATTCCTTAGATATTTTTTCATGGTTTCTGCGGCCCAAAGCTTAAATAAAWAACATCTGAATTCGGTTATAATATAGGTACTAATGTACTATTTTTATTACTGATTAGAAATTTAAAATTTAAACTTTTAATTTAAGTTAATTATTTTGAATAACTTATTTTTTAATGGAGTTAATATAAATAAGTAACTTTTAAGATTACTCAAATTATTTTCATTTTTTTTATTACTTTTGACGTAATTAGTTGAGTAAATTGTAAAAATTGAAATAATTCACTTTTCTTATTGAAAATTTTCTATGGTATTGATAGTTATTGGTGTTTGGTATTTTATTATTGGTACTATTAACATCACTCAWCTGCAATATATAATAAAAAGTGTCTATATTATTTAACATTGTTTTAAACTAACCAATGAGAAATGTGTCGAGTCAATCAGATTCAGCACAAGTGCGACATTGTATTTTGTATACTAATAAATAAAAATGTAAATCAAGCTGCTAAATAAGCTTCCATTTTATCGTAAATTTTAGAAAAACATCAAGAGAAGAGCTCAGAGACATTCCCATTAGCTCATGACCACAAGATAAAAGCCTTTAAGTGGATTTAATTAATCTGATATGATAAAATGAGTTTAAAATAATTGAAACGAACTTTAAAACAAAACTTACCAAACTTGTGGCAACACTAAATTTTGTATAATATGATTGTCAGTTAAACACTGCTATATTATAATATAAATTCAAACAAGAGAAGGTACATAATCTGCTATACCTATAATATATTTAATACAATCACTCTGTAGTCTGTTAGTCTGTAGYATATCATAATGTTAGGTATGTCACTCTACTCGCGCATTTTGTTAAGGTAAGTTCGAAAAWGTATAATTATTAATTTGTGTTCAATATTAAGAAGAAAAATGCATTGTGTTAACTTCAGGTTTGAACTTAATTTGTATACAGTGAAATTTTTAACGTTTTGAGAGAATTTTGTTGTTGTAAATATGATTAATGTGAAGGTTAGGTTAGGTTAGACCTATTAGTCATATGTAGGAACTATATTAAAAAACGAACTTGTAAAATATTTAAATATTAGAACTTAAATTGTTATTATTATATTTTATATTAAAAAATATTGAATAAGAAATCCTTTTAAACAAGATTTTAGTTTGATTTTTCAACAATTTTTTTCCCCCGAAATGGCTTATTGTCGATRATATGACGATGACGTACAATTGTTRAATTTGGGTTTCGTCTTATCAACAAATAATCTAAACATAATATTATTATGAGAAAAATATTTTATGATTTAATACATTATATCTATTTGACTATATTTTATGGTACCGTAGCAAGCAAACTCAGCATGACGATACCCCGGGTCTCACACACTTATGTCTATATTCATTAATCGTTAGTCGCTACTAACAAGACWATAAGACAATATATGTATACGTCATTGTAAAGATACACAAATGACAAATTAAGTATTTGAAATACTTTTTGAATATATTAATATTTGTAATTAAATACTTATATGCAAAGGTATTTAAATAAATATATTTTAAATAAT